CAATCAATCCACTGATTACTCCTAAAACTACACTAACAATAATCTTCTTAGAATCATCCTTATACTCCGACGACGCCAACCGAGACTCATAAGATACATGTTTACTCAATCTCCCATGACATTGCACAGTATTATCATGACACAAACAAAACAAAAACAAAACAAGAAGCTGAAACACCAACAACTTATTTGAAAGAGAAAAAAGGGTTTGTCTTTTCTTAAACATCAAAACACAAGAAACAAAATCACAACCACAAATCAACCCCATATGCAAATTGCATCACCATAACACAACAACACAAAACTTGGAAAAAACTCATATTAATAAAACTCCAAAAGACTTCATTTTTAGACTCTATCCAAAAATGGGTTGTTTAAAAACAACACAAACATAAGAATAAGAATAAGCATAAGCATAAGCATATTCCACAAACTTTTCATTTTTCAAACCAAAATCTTCACAAAGAAGCCTTCATTAAAGATAAAAACAAACCATAGAATCCTTATCATTTTCTACCCAAAAAAAACATCTTTTTATTCTCTTCACTCACTCATAAAAATTTTATCTTCCAAAAAGGGAAAAACAAGAACAAGAACAAAGAACTATTCCTTAGTTTAGTAGCAATGAGTGACTAACAAAAACCAACATGACCCAGAAACAAAGTTGTTACCTTTCTTCCTTGGAAACAAAACAGAAAGTCAAAAAGTTGAAAAGAAATTAAAGGGTGCAAGAGAATGATGATGAAGAAACAAACCCTTGTGAGAAACTAGAATGTTACTACTGAAGTTGTAAGCAACTAGTAAGTGGTATAGTAACAGTGACATAAACACATACAAAATGAATGATTGTGTTATGTGTGAAATGTGAAAGTTGTTTCTCTCTCTAGGAAAAGTAAAAAACAAATTTTTATGATAGTTTCTCTCTCATCATCAGAGTGTCATCTCATCTCATCTGATGACAGCAAAGGGCCATGCTTCTTTCTTTGGGTTCCCGCCTTTGTGAGTAGACTCTACTCATGTGGGCTCCACATTTGGTCTGAAAGTGAAACATCGTAATCCGTGAGTTGATTAAGGAATTTCTGCTTAATGGAAACCGTTTGATTTTCTTAAACATTGTCTTGGCCGTTGGATTAACATGCACGGGAATTTGCGCTGCTTATGTTTTTGTTTTTGTTTTTGACAAAAGTGTTTAGTATGTTTGGTTGGTCATGTGTCTTTAATTGGACAAATTTGAACGACTAATTGAAACTAATCGATCTGTTATCTTTTTTCTTTTATAAATGGATTGTGTGTTGGATTGATTTGGTGGTTTAATTTGAATAATATTTGTTTTAAAACTAATGAAAATTGAAATTGTCTGAATTTAATTAATGTATAAAATTTATTATAAAAATGAGATTTATAATATTGTAAGATATTATCATTTTTATAATTTGATGATTGCATTGTATACTTCCAAAAATATAAAATTTTGAGTATTATTTAGTTTATGATTTAGAGTATGATAATGATTAAAATTAATATTAAATAATATTAAAAATATTATTCTGAAATAATAATTTTTTTTATAAAAAAAAGTTATTTTTATAAATTTATTTTAATAAATATTAAATTGATCTGATTTACCCGATCGTAACCGACTGATTTTCTACTCTAATGATTAGTAACGCAAAACTATTAACTTGGGTGTATTAAACAAAGTTTGTTGTTGGTCTATAATTTATTTATTAATTAATAATAATAGTTATTGTATTCTTTTTTAATTTAAAAATAGTCAAATTAATTTTAGAAATAAAATGAATTTTGATAGATTTAGACGTCTTTATATAAAATTTATTTTGTTTATAAAATACTAACTTACTTTTGATTAAAACATAATTTTTATACTTAAATTTATTATTCAACTCAATTATAAATATATATAAAACAAATCACTTCATCTTAAATTCACCATTAACCATAATTATTTTGCATAAATAAATTTATTTAAAATCAATTTTTATTATGAATTAAATCATAATACTAAGAATTTTTTTGTGATATTTTTTAAGGAACATAATTTGAGTTTCATACACTACTCATAAGTGTGGTTGTTATAATGATATGTCACAAATATGCACATTGTACTCCAATGCTATAAAAAATTGTCTTATAGTAACGATGATATGGTAAATTATAATCTTACAAGTTCTTTTACAAAATTTCCCTCCAAAACTTTTAAAATAAATAAATAATAATAATAATTAATCAAATAAAAGTTTTGAAAAATTAACTCCACTAACTCAATGTTTAAAAAAAAAACTCCACTAACTCATTAGATTATTCATTTATATATGAGTCTTTGTTTTTTTCTAAATGATTTAAAAAATAGAACATATAAATTATAATTAGTGTTAATTAGTCAAGCTCTATATAGTTTTTTATAAGAAAAATATAGTTATAATTAGTTTTATTATAATTATTTCTCTTATTATTGAGTCAATATCATTTATAACTCACAATGATTCAATAATTAATTAATTTTAAAAATGACTTAAATACCTAAAAATAATCACGTTCTATAACTCCACTAATTCACTAATTATTATTCGTAAAACTTCTCCTTTATAACACCACTAATTCATTAACTTACAAATAGATATTCATAAAACTTTTATGTGCAACTTACATCGTATGTACATGACATTAATTATAAAACTTTTTTTTCTTCTCTTCCTAATATTTATTTCGAGAATTTATAAATTTATTTATTTTTTCATTGTTAAATATGTTATGTATTTATTTAACCTCTATATAAGTGTTGATGTTTTTTGCTAAATTATTTGTAATTATATATCAATGATTAGATAAAAGTGTATTTGTGATGTATTTATAACCCATAATACATTTTTTATTAGCATCTTTGTTAATGTTGTACAAATTTATTGTTTTATGTATTGCATATGAAATACCACTAAATTTATGTCTCTAATTTTGTATTATTTTTTCTTAGAATTCTCTACAATATTGTTTTCTTCCTCTAAAATTACAAGGGGATCATCTGCATACTTCTCAATTCTCATAACGTCATAAGTCTCACTCTTTTTCTTTGAAATTGAAATTTACTTGACTTTTTTGTTTCTGTGTATTAAAATGAGACACTATATGTAAATAGAATAATATAAGATATGATTGAAGTTTGAAAGCAACATGAAATATGTGATGAATTGATGATAAACTACTTCAATATTTTTAAAAACCTTTTTGCATACATAACTCTGATCAAAGTCAACATATTATGATTCGAATCACGCTGAAGTTTAAATCAAAACATAGACATTTTTGAAACTGTTGACTTAAGTCAACATATCATGATTCGAGTCATGGTTCTAGCTTAAATTGAATTTTAATTTTTTTAAGTTATTGATTTATGTTGACTTGCTTGAATCAAATTAAGGAGTATATTTGAATTAAATCAAGGAGTATGTATGAATTGATTTAACATTGTTTTAAAATGCTAATATATTATTTATGGCAAAAATATTGTTTTAGTCCTTTAAGTTATTTTAAAATATCTAATTAGTCTCTTAAATTTTTTTTGTAACGCTTTGATTTAATTTGATTTAAAATATCAAATTAAATCAAGGAGTATGTATGAATCGATTTAACATTATATTTGGTCATGTCATTCACAAACTTCCTTTCATTATCTTTTAAACGACCTAATATATCATGGTCATCTAAGCTCTTAGTTAGTATATGATTGTGAAACTCACACCTAACTGTAACTTTCCAACTGCTTCCACTTGAGACAGATCTCATCATAAATAGACATTTCACTTTCATAGTATAATTTCCTTCAATCGCATTCTTCTTCTTATAATTTTCTTCTCTCTCACAATCCATAGTCAATTTATCTTTCTTCCATCTCATCCCATTAGTGGTATCAACATGAATAGTAACAACAATAATACTATAATGTTTACCAATGGACTGCACCCATGTCAAAATGTCAACTCGGAAGAGAAATATCCAAAATTTACAATATACACAAAATAAATTATCAATGTCAGAAATATCATAAGCGTATTATTATTTAAACTATTTAAAAATTAAACATGTATTTAAAACATACCACATCAGTGTTGAAAAACTCAATAAAATTTAGAGGGGAACCATCATGATCAAGACCGCACAAATGAAGTATAATGAACTACCGAATTTTTAGGTATATGCAAAAAAATCTGGTACACTTCAAAATTTTACCTGATTTTTTCAAATCCCCGATAATAACAACACTAGAATCAAGCAAATTCTAATTTTTTTCTAAAAATTTGATAAAACTTCAAGATGTTTCCGAGTTTTTTCAATATTTCTAATAAAACTTCATGGAATTTTGGATTTTTCCGAGTTTTTTCAGTTTTTCTTTCTAATTTTTTTAGGGAGGTTGCTATAGATGATTGCTTCTTTTTTTTTCATATTTGTTTCTGATAATTTTTTTCTTATATCTTATATCAGTATAAACACATGAAAACAATGGACAACCATGGACATGAAACATTCTTAGAGTACATATCCCACTAATTAAATCAACAATACAAAAGTGAAAAACAACCACAACACCTTTCACAAAAATAAACCAATGTACACAGCATGCCCAAAACCCTAGTCTAATGTATCACAGACTCACCACTAAAGGAATCAAATGAAAAATACACAACAACATATTACAAAAGTGTTGCTTGGCTCAACTAGTACTACCTCTTGACATCAGAGACCCAATGTGGTCATTTTACATTACAAATCTTAGCACTACCTTGTGTACAAGACTGCCAAGGGGCAGACATTACAACCTACCACATTCCCTTTAAACAAAACACCGCTAGTGGCCTCACACTTGCGGTGTTTTGTTTCCTTAAAAAAAAACATTTTTTTCAATTCATGAAAAATACAAATTTACATAATTCAATTTCCATATCTTATATATAATATACTTGTAGTTCCAGGTTTTTTTATTAGTGTCATCCATTTGAATCAGTTGGTGGTGCATGGACTTGTCTTTCATCAGCATTTGATTCTGCAGCAAGCTCAATAGGGGTTCTTCCCTCCTCGTCCACAGCTCGAGGATCGCCTCCCCTGCATTGTATACATGTATGATTTTCACATATATTAAGAAATGTAGATAGACTATTTTCATGTACTCATTTTCTGTATAATGTTCCTAAAATACCCTTTTGTGTATGGTACAGAAAACAGCTCGTAATTAGAGTCGTCTCAAGTTTTTGGAGGCCTTAGGGAGGTTAACTGCAGCTTAACCATAGACAAACAAATAGCGGCCCTATTTAACCAAGTTTTAACCGTGATAATATTTTAACAGGCCTTATTTAACCACGGTTTAAATGTGACAAGTTTTGAGCCCTGTGCGGTAGCTCGCCTTGCACACCCTCAAAGACGGCCCCGTGCGGTAGCTCGCCTTGCACACTCTAAAAAACGGCCCTGTGCAGTAGCTTGCCTTGCACACCCTCAAAGACGGCCCTATCCGTAATACTATAATAGCTTGGCGAGAGACAGATAAAGCATCACATAAAGTTATCACTGACCTTGAAAGAAGTAATCTTGCAATTATAGATCTTCCTTTGAGAATACACCGATGTAAAGGAGTTCGGCCTCTCAAATCGCTCGCATTAATATTTGCACCATATTGCAGGAGAAGCTCCACCATTCCAATGTCCGCGGTTTCACAAGCAATGTGAAGTAGTGTGCAACCTTCGAGATTGTCCATTGTCTGGCCTTCTTTAGTGCCTACCAAACTCAAAGAGCAATTAGAGGACCAGTCCAATGTGTTCCCTGCTAAATTAGAGCCCTGATCATTGTTTGCCTGCTCTTGTAATAGCATGACTTTGGCAAGGGTTAAAGAGTTGTTGCATGCTTGCTCATAAACAACATTGACATCAACGTCGGAATTAACAATGTAACGGTATACAGCTTTTTTGTCATTAGCACGAACAGCTTCCCAGATCTGTTGTGCCACTAGAAGCTGGTATTGATTGTCCTTCGGTCTGCGAACAAAAATCTTCTCCGCATACTGCCAAGAGAATTAAAAGTAAATATTCAACAACTCAAGTCAGATAAGAGGGCACCGCCCTGCAAGTTAATAAACCTTGTGACAAAAGTACTTTAAGTAAGTCCATGATTAAACCCATCAAAATCATAAAAGTAAATTTTTTCAGGCTTTGGAGTTTGGATTTTACCCAAAGAATAATCTTCTCCATAAGAAAGAGTACAAGTTTCAGGATCCTGAGTACAAACAGAATAGTCATACCTTTGCGTGGATGAACTTTTCCTTCACAGATAGAGAATCATATTGACCAGGTTTGGTGATGAAAACTGTCTGTGGCTTATTGGACTTGCTCGAGCTTCATAAATAGTGAAAGCGTAAATCAGGAAGAGAATACTTGGTTAAAAAATAGAAAACAACAATGGGTGTAATGCAAAGATATAACAATGGGGATTCTTTACCCTGTAGGGACAAGATCAACCTGAAAGGCACTTCTTGATTGCAAAAGTTCCTCCCAGACTGAGTTGGCAAAAGTATTCCCAAGAGACTGAAATAAACTTATCACAGAAGGTTCCCACACCTTAACGTCCAATGTAAGAGAGCGAACCTACAATAGAACCGAGAAAAAAGAGCAACATGATCAATTTATCATTATAGCCTCATCAGAAAAATGAAGCAACAATAAAACCTAAATTCAAAGTGAGAAGGAAGCAACAACAAAACACATGTAACGATCAAGGGAATGCATTTGTATGATCTACCTTGGATATGTGCACACCAAGGTTTCGATGAACGCCAGAACATTCAATGCAAACAAGAACACCAAGATTTAATGACGCCCAATCAGGTTCAGGAGCCCCACAATCAGCACACTTGTCATTCCCCATAACTCTTCGCAACGCATCAATTGGTTTCTCACTTTTATTACAGGACCGCTGCTGGTTTAAATTTCTGGAGGCACGCTCCAGATGTGAAGATGCAAAACTTCTATCAGCCGCACTTTCTTCAACAGCAGAGTGATCAAAATCTGAACTTTCAAAAGAACTGCTCTCACTTGTAGACCTATGATGACCACTTCCCATTGGACTTGCCGGTAACAACTGATAAAAATGGATAACATTAATCACATTGACTAAAATTCATAGTTATGGTAAATAAAAGTGTATGAAAGTTACCCTTTCAGGAATCTGAGAACTTAGCAATGAGGCAATAACACCTGTAATTTTTTCAATCCAATCCATTTGGTCCAGTGCACTCTCTGCCTGCACTGACAAGCATAATTAAGGAATGAAAGTAAAAGCTTTAATCACCGTCTTTAAATGGATAAAACATTATCCAAAAAGTCAATAAAATAACCTGCAAAGTGTAGTTCTTTGTAGGTGAAATGATCCTGAAGCAAAATCTCAAATCTGATTGGTCAGCATCAACTTTGATTGTCGATGTAAGTAGGTTCACAGTGTGATGAGCAACGGATTTCTCATCATGTACTCCACCATGATGATGATGATGAGAAGAAAGCCATCGACTTAGAAGTCCAGAACCAAGCTCTGAACTATTCCTCTGACCAGAATGTTGACTGCTAGAGCCCTACACATGATAAATAACCACAAGAATATAAGGCAAAACTTGTTAGAAAGAAGCATGGTGGCTTAAGTCCTTCATAAACCAACTTATTGTACATAATAGACTTCTTACAGATGATTTGCTGATTTGTTTACGGTAGTAATACAGCATTCCCCGGCTATCAAGAACGAAAAACCTCCTTTTCCAGTCGCCCCTTAAGTTTGAGGAACGTTTCGAGAGATATCCTTGTCGAATAGTCTGAACCTAAAATGATAAAGAAAAATAAAAAATTAAGAATAAACCGATGGGTGAAAGTAATAACTAATAAAATGTATTTCCAGCCCTCTTTTCAACCTTTCCCTTTGCAGCATTTTGCATTACTGCTTCTATCATCTTATGTGAACTTCTACCAATGGCTTGAATACCATCTCCATTAGGAGAACCATTAGAGCCATTAGAAGCCCACCTACTTTCTCGATCAATCTGCCGTTTGTAATCTTGCATTCTTTCATTGAGAGCTGCTTGCTCGTAATTAGACCTTTCTCTTGATTGTTGAGCATAAGTCAAGACCTGCAAAATAGGTAGCCTGGTGTGAATCGTTTGCATTTTCAACTAACCACTCTTGAGATGCCAAATGATAATTGATAATATGACATAAATCTCTATGTAAACAAAGCGTTTAAAGACAAAGCTGGTTCTAAACCTGGTTAATGTACGGCTCCATTTGATGCAATAGTTCATACCCCTACGAGTGAAATTAATTGAAGATAAGAATGTTATGACACAGAATATGTGAAAGAATACTTTAAACAATATATGTTTACCTGTTTGAAGTAACGAAGATGTGCATCCATGGTCCCACTGACTGCTTCCAAAAATTCAAATCTCTTCTTTGCTTCAACATTTGACAGGGCAGTAACCTGGGCAGAGACTCTTCAAGTTTATTTCGGAAAGTAACGGTAAAATTATTACTTATTTACTTCAAATCAACTGAATTTACTTACCAGATTAAACCGAGTTTGCTCGAATGTAGCTCTTGCACTATGAAGCTCCTAAATCATGCCCCAAACATGTAAGGTTTAATAGAATGATATCACAAATCTAAGTTGACTCAACAAGTGAGGTATACAAAGCTTACCTCTTCTAGAGCATGAGCTACATCAGTTTTTGTACCTTTTCTCAGTGACAGAAACTTTTCACGCGTCTGCAAGAGTAACAAATTTAGCGATCATTAGACAAAAACTTGATTTCATAGCTTCTAATACTGTTGACTAAAAATAATATCGGTTACTGCAGGTCTATTTTAATATTCAAGAGGTAAAACAGAAAGTTCAAATCCAATACCAAGTGACAATTTATTTTTTTCCAGGGACTTTTACCTAGGGGTGGCAAACGGGCATGCCCTCGCCGTAAATCCCCGCAAAAAAACGGGGCGGGGTGGGGCGGTCACGGTTGAGGATGTGGGGCCTAAAACCAAGGCCCACTCTGCAAAAGAGCGAGGGCGAGGCGGGGAAAGTCTGCGGGCACTGCATCTTTTAAACCTAAAAACGCAAAACTTTATGTAAATGCTCGTGCCAGCAAAAGCCCGCGAAGAAAACGGGGCGGGCGGGGCGGACATATTAGAGGGTGAGGGCCTAACCCCTTGCCCCACCCCGCACTAAAGTGCGGGTAAAACGGGCATGCCCAACGGGCCGGGCCCATTTTTCCACCCCTACTTTTACCATTGTTTTTCTTAGAACAGAGCTGGACATTAGTTTACGATTCTTATCCAAATATCCAACTCAGAAGGAATATACAAACTAGGTGGAAAAATTAGAAAGCATTTGGAAATGGGAATGCACCTGGTCATAAATAAGGCTGGCTTTATCAAAGCGCTTTCGTGCTTCCTGCACTAAGAAAAGATCCATTATAACAGAAACTAAGTGCATATTTCACTTAGAAATTTTATTGTTGAAAAGTAAACATCAACTGCCCTCATCATTAAGTGATACTCAAAGTCTATATCACTATAAGAAACATTTATAAACTACAAAGCTTAAAATGTTTCCACGAAACACGCCTACAAGAAAATAAATGCTGCGGCACTACTTTTTCCACAAGAGAAGTATATGTTCTAAAAATCCCTGCTTGAATCCTAAATCTAAAAAATGAAACAAAAGTCCAGTAAGAGCAAAGACACTAGAAAGACCTTGCTTTAGTTTTGCATGCGTCTTACTGACAGAATAAAGGAATACAGACAATAAGATATTTTGCAAGTACCTTGACCTCTTGCAGATCAATATTAACAAACTGGAGCAATCTGTCATTTAACATATGCTCAACCTGAAAGAAAGAAAACAATCTTTGTCAACAAAAAAACCAGGATGATGGTTCCAAATAGTTAACTGCTAAAGATTGTATACTGATTCTGCTTCACAGTTTTATGTTCAATTATCGATGACTATATTATTCCTTTTTGTTTTATGGATAAAAGAAGAAGATAATGGAGAGGTTGGAGGTAATGACATCCTTGTTTTTTTGTTTTTTATCTCTTTTAAAATGTGATATTGGGAGTCATTGGCAACTACGAAAAGATTAAAAAAGCATATGAAACAAAACACTTCACCTGGGATCGAAGGACTTCCTTGTATGTCCCGATTTCTCTTAAGGCTATAGTAAACTTGGTCATAACAGGGCCTGAAGTGCAGTTAGAACCTCAATCAGAAATTGTTTCTCACTATTGTTGAGATTTTAAGAGCAAAAAGAACATCAATATAATCAAATCATAGAGTCAGATAGTAAGTATAGACCAATGTTGTCGATGGCAGATGGCGGTCCATGGCGGAGAGTCAAAATCCCGCCATACCGGCCGCTTTGCAACGCCGTTATAGCGGATTATGACAGAAAAACCCGCAATATCGGCCAATATTTACCGTCTGCCATGGCGCCGCAATTTGATAACACTGGTATAGACACTTTAAATTATAGAGAAAAATTGCAAATAAATTCTCTAGAGAAATATTGTCTTCATGAGAATTAAAACTGTCTTCCTTTTCCTTGATAAATAACACTAGTCAAGCATAAGAATACATATTTTGTTATGATTGGCAGTTTATTTGAGGTAATAAAACACGGAACCACTAAGAAAGACATTGAGAATAAAGTATTATCAACTATGCGCAGGAACAGAAGAAGAAGAAGTTCAGCCACGCGGCGGAACATAAAACTTTTCATCAACCATCTTAAGCATGATGTTGAAAAAATAGGCATACCTCCAAAAGCTACACTGATGGGGTCATTATGACCCCCACCAAAAGTTTCTAGGGCACTTGCAAATGCAATATCTCCATCATATGCCTCCCCCAGTCCTTCCCTGGAAAGTACAAAAGTGACAGCAATTAGGTCTTAAAAAAACAAACATCTTCGAAATCAATATTCAATATATTATGATTAGCTGTGAGAAACTTCTTATAATAGAACTAAAAAAATAGATGATAAATACACTAAAATTTTCCTTTCTATTATGGACAATGGTTATTGCATTATAAACACTAAGAAAAGCATTCTCCATGGAGGATAGAATACACAAGTATTAAGCAATATTAATGCTTTCTTTTATTCTTATGAGAAACCTCTTGATGTCATAATGATGATATAATTCAAATAACTACATACGTGTATTTTCTGCATCCCTTGTAAAATTTCAAACTTCTCTCTCTCAAAGATTCAGCACTTTCCTCCATGCATTGTATCTGTTTCACCAAAGAATTAAATGATAAGCAATCTTAGTGAACAAGTCAATTAAGAAAGAACCTAAAAATTCTCTGAACAATTATGGTAAAGCGGTAAAAAGATCAGCATCTATGTTGAAGGTGTGTAGCAACCCAACAACAAGTTATCATGCATACTAATACTATGTAAAATCATCAATAAATAGCTCTAACCCCCATTAATATTCTCGAAGAGATGAAATGAACCACTAAATTTATGAAACTACAGATTCCAAGTATCATCACAATGCAGTAATGACTTAGTGCGTATCTGTGTTAGATTTTATTCAATGAAAACAGAATAACATAAATTCTAAAGGCACTTCTTAGATCTCACTGTAGTAGCCTGTTTAACATAGCCATAAGTTCAGTTCATTTTACAAATAGCTGAGGTGGCAATGGTTTTAGAAACTTACGTCCTGTTAATTTAGATATGTTTGGTACATCAGTAAACAGGAGGGGAGGAATTTTCAAGGTGTAACCGTATTATTTCTCCCAATGTTGTCAATCGTAGAAAATAGCAATACCTCTATTTGAGGACTAATTAGCATATCGCGGAACAATACTGGTTTATTCAAATTTCACTATGTTATAACCAGGGTCGTTAAACGGCGACTATGGCATGGTGGATTTTTTAGGCAATTTGTGAAAGGATGCCCGCCATGGCAGCCACACAGACCGCAATGACCTGCATATATGGCGGATTTTTGGCCCTCCGTAATATCATGCCATCAACAATACTGGCTACAACCATTTCTGACAACGGGGATTTCTCCTTGTTCAGGGTTTAAGCACGGTTGGGGCAACTGGGGTACTGGGGTATCGACCATTGCTTATAACTCTCACTCTAACTCCTCACCAAACCTCTATCTAAATCACAACCTATGAATGAAACCGCTATCATCTTCTTCGTATGATTTCTCAGAATCAGACAGCAAGGTTTTAAATAACAATCGCGTAAAGGCTTTCGCGATTTCATCGGTACAGGTGTTGCAACAGCGATTGCATTCGTCACTGTGTGAATTAACCACAATTTGTTCTTTAACATAAAAACGGTGAATAACAGCATCGACATCGGCACCTGCCAATAGTTTTGTCGCGGCAGACAGTTTTTAAAACCTTGTCAGAAAGTAACCCTAGATGTTTTCAGCATAAACAAAGCTTGAGTAAATTTAAGCATTAAATTTCATATAAATCAAAACATTCACATTCCATATATCATTTAAAACAAGCATTAAATCAAGCCATCAATTTCAAATTCACCTTCAAACAAAACAAACACTAAACCAACAACTACTACACTAAATCAAGACATCAATTAAACAACCTAACTTCCTAACTAACTAAATCAATTCATCAAACACCTAGCATACACTACACACACAGCAACCACAACAAGAGAGAGAATAACCAACCTGCTTGCGGAACATAGGAGAATCATCAAGCTTAGCGAATTGCATTTTATCCAACAAACAAATCCTAGGTTTATGTCGGTTCAAGAACAATCACACCTCAGCATTATAGAATCATCACCAACACTCGATCTAGAAGCAAAACACTCCAACAACACTGTCACAAACATTTGCATCAATTTTACTTTCACTTTCTCACTTCACACTGCTCTTGATTTGGTCCAAAAACCTAAAACAAAACACAAACCCTAGCGCAGCAAAAGGAAACAGAGAAAAACAACAGACAACGTTGGAGTTTGAGGCTGCTTATGATTTGATTTTGATGTCTTCTATTTTTGTGTTGTGTGTTGTGTTGTTGGTTGAGTCAAGTGTAGTAGTGAATGAAGATGGGAAAGTAAAAAGAGAATTGAAAATTGTTTATTTAATTTAACTTTAATTTAATTTAATTTAATGAATTAAATTTAAGTATAATCTATAATTTTGTAGTATAACCTAAATTCTCGAATCCCATGTGTTAAAGTTATACCTATTAATTCCTTTTTCATGCACTTTTTCCTTTACTGCCCCCTTCTTTTTCTTTTTATAATCTGTCATTTTCTTTTGTTTATAGATTATTAATTATTAATTAATCTTAATGATATTATATGGTCATGGTAATAATTACCATCGCACATTGTTTTACATTTTCTTTTATTCATTAATTTTATCACATTTATTTAGTATTAGTTTAAATTTACATATGCTCCTGAAAGGCCAACACCCAAAAATAATTTTAATATTTTGAAGTGTGAGTGTTCAAATATGTCCTCATAAAAAATACTAATTATATTTAATTATAATTTTATCCTTCTATTTTTTTTTTATTTTGATGACTCATTTTAAAACTAGGATTTTGATTCTTTTTAAAGTTTTTTTATTGGATTTTATTCCTTAAAAAAGATCAAAATTTAACAGGAAAACTTAAAAAATAATCAAAATTATGGTTTTAAAATGATGGGATCAAAATTAAAATAAAATATAAATTATGGGATTAAAATTGTAATTAAATTTATTAATTATTAAAATGTTAAATTACAATCTAATCCTCTTATTTTGTCAAACTTACAAAATCAATCCTTCTATTTATTTTTTAAATAGTTTTTGGTCTCCATACTTACATAATTTTATTCACTTTGTATAAGAAAGATTAATTATTAATTGCATTTTCGACAATGTTTTATTCCTTCAATCGTCTTCTCCGATCATCTTCTTTCTCTTTAGACTTGTTCATTCGTCTTTCTCGTTCACCAAAAAAATGCTCTTTATGTTCTCTCTCGTAAAGAATGTATGCTACCTATACAAAATAAATGACACATCAACGTTTTTAGACGAAAAATAAATACATAAGACCGAAACTATTTAAAAAATAAATAGAAGATTGATCTCGTAAATTGATCAAAATAAGATGATCAAAACTGTAATTTAACCTTATTAAAAATATAAAAAACTAAATAAAAATTAAAAAATTAAATAATAAATATATTTTAAAAATTGTGATATTGTTTTACAAGTAAGACATGAGGAAAATTTATAGTAAGAATTAGAAGTACAATTTCAAACTTGTGTCTAAAAAAAGAAAAATTAATACTCTAGTTTTACTTATTAGAATTATTATTTTGAAACAGCATATTGATAACAAATTTATATTTATTTATTTATTTTGTTAGTTGAGACCATGTTTGAAGGCATGTGTTGGTCACGCGCAAGAAGGGAGCGTGAAAAAATATGACTGTTTGTGTGAAGAGAGAATGGTTGGGCTGTATAGTACAGTGTACTGTGGTGGGCCAAAACTGAGTTTCCCTCCATTTTCCCGACCATATTTTGGGCCCCACTCTCTCCCCCCAATACTGCCTCACTGCCTCGCATGCTCACCAATAATCGATTATCATTTCTTTAATCTCTTTTTTTCTTTCTTTACCACAATTGTGTTCTTCATTAACATCTTAATCTTACTCTTTTGGAAATAAATTCTTGGGTACATCACTTTTGAACATGTTTCTTAGTAAAACAAAATGTTAGGTTATATGGTCATGTACAACTATCAATTAAATCAGCAATTGAAAAATTTTTAGAAGAATAAAAAAGTTATAACATTGAAATGCTTTATGATTAATAAAGATATTAAAACAACATTTTTGGAAGAAAATTGATTGAGAGTTGAAACAAACAATTATCTAGCTATTGAATTCAATCATGAGAGTTCAGCTGTCACAATTATAACACAAAAATAGAGCCAGAGTGTTTTGATAAGCAATTGTTAACTATTATAAGAAAACATAGTATAACCTAAAGTATTATTTTGATGTTTTAAGTCTTATCTCTATTTTAGGTTTCATAACATTCCCTTTCTGAGATATAATTCAAAATTAAAAGAAATGCATAACTTTTTATAAACCATTTTGAGAAGAAAAAAAATCAAATTGCAAAAAGCTTGAGTTTCTAGATAAAAACTATCAACCCATTATTGAAACAAACTTTGGATCTAAACGGACAGGGTCGGTTTGACCCAAATTGGCTTGATTCGGTTTGACCCAGATTGGTTTGGTTTGGGTAACCGGATAGAAGATATCAATCCAAGCCTCTAAATAACAAAAATTCCCTAAATTTGTAGAGAAAATTAATTAAAAAAAGGCACCTAATTATTAATATCATATGTACAAAAACTATTTATTATTGACCATGGAAAGATTCATGAAACCTCAATGAAAAATAGAATAAATGCAGTAACTCCAAAATGTTGTATATAGTCCTAAGTCCTATGATGGCAGTAGTAATAATAACAACACTAAAAAAAGTGAACAAATGGTCAAAAAATAATGAAGGGACCCACTATTGTTGATTCCAAATGTTATGTACACTACTTCTCTGATCCTTGTTGCACTACAATTTATCAGCAATTCTTCCAAGAGCATTTGCAAGCTTATCAAGCACAGCAACTATGTTACTCGCAGTGTCGTTCTGGTGCTGGCGATCCAGTTGGAAGTTGATGTTCTGAGCCTCTAGTTGTTCGCTTAGCATCTTGCCGTTTTTCTCTAACACGTCGATTAACTGACTTTGTATGGATTCGTCTTCTTCATCGGTTGGAAGCCGTTTCCGCTTCCGTTCCCCTTGAGATGTAGAACCCATTTCTGGATTTGGGGCTGGTTGTTTCTCATTGTTGGTGGTACCTAGAAAAACAAAAGAATGTATGAACAAATTCAAATTAGAATTGATGTCAATTTCAGGAACAACAATCAAGTCTTTCCGAGTCAATTTCAGGAACAGAATTAACTGATCCAAAAAAGACTAAAGTTAGAGATCATCATCATTTAGGAATTTTGTCAATTTTAGAGACCAAATTAACGGACGCCAACAATTTCACGATGAATAAATTATAATCATACATTGGACACATATCCAATCACGTCATGAATGACAAAAGCTGCAAAAAAAGTTGGTTCGTTGCAATCCTATTATTGTGTACTAGCAATATTGCAATCAAATGCAATAGCAGAAACCTTCGTAGCAATTGGCCTTACCCAGTACCAATTAATCAGAACTCATCTGCGGTAGGAATCGGTAGCAGCATAAATAATGAGAGGACGCAAACGAATAAAATAACAGACAAGAAATCGAGCTGTCTCGTAAAGGGTTTTAGCTTACTTGAGTTACATAAGCAGTAAAATTCCTCATTTTTTGAGACACAGAAGGACATAGAAGTAACTTTCATGTATTTGTGCTGTCATCTTGTAATGAAGCACTTTGAATGTAATAGGCACTAAGTTTCGGGCCTATCACATCATCTTGGTCAGATGAATAGGGGCCTAAGTTTCAAAGCAAAAACATCAAAGTTGTGTCTCCACAACATAACAAAAACCATGTCCAAACAAATGTAAGGTCTCAATCCTCAAATCATCATAATACCGGTGAAAAAAACATTTGCGATTTGAGGCCTAACAGGTAATATTGATAACTTTTACATCTATGCAGCCAGAATGCGATTGCAGGTAAGTAATACCGCATTCAACTGCAAAATATTAATAATTGCAACACGGCCAAGATTTAAAACCTCGGGTCTATCCAGGATAAGTTTAAATAGATTTCTATCAGTCTGCAAATTCTGGCAGAAACCGGTATTGTTAAGTTGGACGTCGAACCCTGATACTCGTGATTGTGTGTCTGAGTTCTTAGTTGTTACGACCATTTCGTCTATTGACCAAAAAAAAAAAGATTTCTATCGAACAGTTAGAACTAAACATAGCACGTAGAATTAGAGTATAGCGATCTTTTTAGTATTGAAACAAAACATGATTTCAGTCTAACATCAAATCCAATAAGAACATGATTGATTACCTTGAGCATTGCCTTCTCCTTGGCAGCGACTGAGGAGTGGTAGAAACTGCTTCTCTGCAAATCAAAATTTCAAAATAAAATAATCAAGGGCAACAACAACATCACAATCTACAAAACTTTGGATCACATTACCATTGCATCCAAATCATCCATCTTCACAACAGAAAACACCATTACTAGAATAAAAAACTGAGTACACAGCATGGTATTTCATGAAATCAAAAATGGCGGTGTGTGTCCCCAAAACAATGAACACTAGTGTCGTACGTAACTAAAACGTCGAAAGTCTACAATTTCATAAGAAATATGCAACAAAATATCAATTGTACCTACCAAAACACTAACCCTAACACAACTAATGGAGCTAACTGATTGAACATAAGGGGTCAGTATCCGACATTGACGCATTCAATATTGACATGTTTGGAACCCAAAACTGTTTCAAATTTCAATCTAAAATGTCAGCACCACATCGAAACAACACTGTTGTATGAGTTGATAAAATCAAAATTCAAAATGGGTTTCCAAAAATTCATGAACAAAAAAACTACCTGAGATAGGAACAGGTGAAGGAACATGAACATCTTTGGAAGAAACCAAAACCTCATCCTTCTCAAAATCCGAGAACAACCCATCTTCACCACTCACTTTCCTATTACTGTCGTAAATATGAATCTCCTCATCACCAACCGCCTCCGAAACCGATACAGCGACAGGAAGAACTGTCGTCGCCGCCGCGGCAGCAGCCGCCACAGCCACTGATGGCGAATCAAGAATATCATAAACCTCCCGATCAAAATACCCCGGCAATTTCCTCTCTCTCCTCAAATCATTCCTCATCAACCAAAACGACTCCGTTTCATCTCTCACCTGAGTCTCCCACTCCTTAATCTTCTTATAATCTCCGGCGAGATTACTCCACCGCTTCCGACACTGAATCGGCCCCCGGTTCACACCGTGCTTCTTACAGTAAGACGAAACCAACGCCCATTTCGGTTCACTCGAACCAAACCCCGAACCGTTTCGACCCGGTTTGAACCGGCTCTCCGCGTCACTCTTCCCCTGTATAAGCACCAGAATCTCCTGCCGCGTCCATCGCGGCAGCCTCGCCGTAGGTTTCCCATCCTCGCCGCCATTCACGGTGGAGGACGGTGGCGTCCCATTTCCGTTGCCGTCACCGTCAACGGAGTTAGGATTCGAAGGTAACGAAGGTTGGTCCAAAGCCATAAAGAGGAATTAGGGTTTTGAATGTCACGTGACACGCACGAGAGGTGTTTGTGACGGTGCCTTTGAGAAATTGGGAAATTCCGTTACGGCGTTTAGTTTATAGTTTAGCTCTTAACACATAGCTTAAGAATGAAAGAGATTAATTATAAAGAGAAAGAGAAAGGGTTTTTATTTTGTGGCTTTTGCTTATGAAAATGGGGTTTTAAATTTTTAATCTTAAATTAAAAATTTTAAATTTTTAAAATTTTTCTATTGGCTTTAATGAGTACTAGATAGGTTTTTGACCCTAAGTCTTTAATAAGGGTTTTTTAATATAATTAATTAGTAATTATTATTGATTACTATTTATTGGGGTCATATCCTTATCTTTAATTTCTGAATTAAATGGGATTTTCTTTGTTTGTAAAGGTTACTTGTTGGGTTGGTTTGACATCAAATTCTTCAAACACCACTTTCATTTCATTGTCTAATCCTTAACTTATCTTTTAGGTCATTTTCTAAAGTAATACTTTTGTGTCAATATATCAAATTCTTCATATACTAGTTCTATTTCTTCATATCAATTTTACTTTTTCCTTCCTTATTAGGAGCTTTAATGTAACGTGTCAAATACCACCTACAACCTCCTAATATTACTATGGGCAATTTTCTATTGCATTTTTATTTTTATTTTTATTTTTTTTAATATTTTTAAATTTCAATAAGGGTCATTCTCTAATTCTTTATGGTTTGCATAAAATTCATGACACAATTAAGTTATACTAAAATTTTGTAAATATTTATTTGTTTAAACATTAACAAAATATTATAACTAATTTATATAATATTTTAAAATTTAAGACGATTTTGTATATCAACCTATATCACAAGTATTTTAGATTTTTTTATAGTTTATTTATTTTCTCTATTTTAATTTAATAATGTTGATGTTTAAATTTGTAAATATTGAAAGTTACAAATTTTTTGTCAAAATTAAAAGTTACAATTTATTCAAAAGAAATTTAAATTGTAAAATTTTATACAATTACTTCCTAGTCTCACAATAGATGTCCTTTTTCAAACTTTTATATTGATCAAGATAATGATTAACTATGTTGATTTTAATGATAGAATTAATCTTATTTACTAAAATAACATTATTAACAATAAGTACTGGAGTATTTATATTATATGAATTAAATTATAATAAATAAGAATAAGTTAATTAAATAAAATAATTAATATTAATATTTAAAAAAAAATAATTTAAAACAAATAAAAGATAACATCTATTGTAATGTGGATACAATAATATTAAAGAGAGAGTAAGACTAGGAAAAAGAATGACATATTTAAAATTTAGTATCCTTAATATATAGGTATAAAATTTTAAAAATAGTGTATGTATATAAGAAAAGGTCGATATTAAATTAGACTGTTATATTAAAATTTTAATTTTAATTTTTAGCGTGAGTTTTTAGTAGTTACTGTCATTTTGCGAAATAAAAAAATTAAAAAGTTATCAGTTACTTAATTAAGTGAAAAATAATTAAATTTTAAATAAAAAAAGTTAAATGTAAAATGCAAAATTAAATAAAAATATATATGTTAGTATTTTTTATAGGTAAAGATTATCAAAGAGTAATAGAGAGGGGAAGATTTTGTAACCTCAAAATCGGCTAACAATCAAAGGTGAATAGTACAAAATCCTCTTTTGAATGATAGTTTTTTTATATATTCACACAAAAGTATTAATATTCTAAAAAATAATGTGTGGTGGACCATGAGTTGTTGATAAGGGCATACTACCCTTCCTTCCACTAAACATTAATTTCCTTTTTTTCAATCTATCTTATCTCATTATCGAATAATTTCACTCTAATCTTTGCTTAATGGTTAATGTGTGTGATTATGGATGGCCCCTCCATTTGTTAAAGCTACTTTCTTTCTTTTTCTTTCTTTGGTTACACCTTTGACAAAACCTTGATTAGGGAGTTGTATAGTGCACTAGTAGACACTAGCTTCATAGTTTGAATAAATGCTCACTAAAATTATCATAGGCTTATTATGTGAGGTGTGATCCACGTCTATATATAATTTAATAGAAATTGTTTTTTCTTTAAGATAGAAAACACAGAGAAAACAAATTATATAGAATCAATTTAGAAATAAAAACTTTAATAAAATCAAAATATCAAAACCTATATCACATTCACATTGGCAAGTGCATCCGTACAAGTATTCGCTTCAGTAAATATATAAATCAATGCTTCCCAATCTAGTTTGAATAAGTGTTAAATTTGTTGTACCAATCGTAATTCAATTATATTATCATGTCTAGAATGAAAAATATTTTGAACAACCACTTTAAAATCCATATGAAGCTCAATTGTTTGAAATTTAAAAATTTTTTTGTTAATCTTAACTCTTCTAACGCACCATAAAGTTCAGTAATATATGCACTACAAGAACTCAAATATCTTGCGAAGCCTCAAAGTCACTCAATCATACAACCTCTTAAAATACCACCACCTCTGACTATCAAGTCATTCCTACTAGTTTCATATGTGTTAAAATCAAGTCATATTCTATTATCAAATCACACAACAATCACTACTAAACAGATCCAAAGCCTTGCACAAATCACTCTCAAACTTTCAAGTTTCTTCGCCTTTAAGAAACTTTGAAAGATGCTTGAAAATCTAAATTGGTTTGTGAATCTCTTCTTGTTAATGAAGAAATTCAAATTCAATACTAAGAGTGATGTCTCTACAATACATAAACGATTCCAGTCATATTCAAATCAAATCAATTAAAATCAAGTTTGGAAAAAGTTGCTCAAATTGTAAAGTTATGATAAAATGAGGTAAAGGAGGTCACAAGGATTCGAAATCAATAAAGAAAAATGGAAAACTCACCTCGTTGAAGCTTGAACAAAGCCTATCCAGAAACTGCAGTTGCTTGTCGGAAAGTTCTTCGTGTTCTTCACTAAGGTAGCCTCCAATTCTCGTCATTTTGCTATTTTCTTGACATATTTTTGTTTCTACACTTGTTATACATCATATATCTAGGCTAATTTCACGAAATCATGACCAATTGAATAAACTTGAAGAATTAGGGTTCTATATTCATGAAGGTCCGTGAACATTCGTGAACATGAATTCCATATTTATTTTTTTGGATCTATTTCAAGCAAACAATTACTCAAAATGCTTCATAACATGACCCTAAGTATGGCTATTTTTGGGCCTGAATACCTGAGATCCACCCGAGAACCGGACCAATGGACCGACTGAAATACTACTTAGTCCGGGAATGATTAAATTTTGTATCTGTTACACGAACAGAGAACTCCGGGCCGAATATCTAATAAGTACTGATATGGCAAAGTATATAAGATTCAGTCCAAACCCTAGTCAATAATCAGTCAAAACCCAAAACACAAATCTTTCATCTTCGGTCTCCCTCTCCATCTCCAACTTCGCCTCGTCTTCTCCCTCTCCAACTTTGCCTCGTCTGGATTTCATCCTCGTCTCAGTTGTCTGGGTAATGTCTTCAACCTTCAACCTTCATATTTTTTCCCGTTTTATCATATTTCTTTGACTGTTTCATTTTTTAGTTTCATCATAAGTTTGAAATGATAATAAACATCAAACATATTTCGATTTTAGCTAACATGTTTTGAATTTTAACTGTTTTTTGTACATGCATCTTGCATTTTTTAATTTTGACCTGAGTTTTAACTTTTGTTGTGTTGTTTGAGTTTTGTAAACTATTATACTATTGTTTGATTGATATTCTATTTTGTTCATTGTTTTTTCAAGATTCATCATTGACTCCAACAATGGATGATCTTGATATTGAAATCGATCTTGATGGGATTGAGGATGAAGAGACAATGGAAGGAAATATAGAGATTGGTGAGATGATTAATTTGGAGCTTACAACTGATAGCACTACTCAAAATACTACTGATTTAGAGTTTCCAACTGATAACACTACTCATAATACTACTTAGAAAACTAATGATTTGGAGATTCCACCTGATAACACTACTCAGAGAAATACCTTTGGTAAAGCTCCTCGTTCCAAAAAATATGTTGTTCATACTGAAATGCCTACTTATTGAAATGCATGATGGTATTAAGAAGTGGAAGTGCAGATGGTGTTGTAATGATGTGAAGTGAAAAAGTACTTCTAATGGTAATAAATGTAACAGCCCGATTTTTCATTAATTAATTATTTGCATTAATTAAGTGAGTTAATGAGAATTATTTAATTGATGGGTAATTAATTAAATGAATTAATAGATGTTGGAGAGAATTAGAAGAGAAAAACATATTAAAAAGGAGAGTGGAAAGAAAAGGAAAAGATAGAAACAAAAAGGAAAGAATAGAGAAAGAAGGAGAAAGAGGAGAAAAGAGAAGAAGAAGAGGGAAGAACTTGGAATCATCAAGAACAACTCTCAAGCTTTTGATTAATCAAGGTAAGGGTGTGAAATATCATTATCTTAACAATGTATATGAATATGTATGCTTGGGTTAGAGTATTGGATGTTTTTCTACAACTTCCATTTTAGGGCATAAATGGATTAATCGGTAGAATCTAAGTTTTTACGGTGGAAAATGAGAATAAATGGTAGTATTTAGTCGGGAGGATGTTAGACTAAGGTTACGGAACTTGTTCGGTGAGAATCGGTTGGTTTTGGAGAGTTTGGTGGAAGTTGGGCAGTAAGAAATTTGGAGTTCGCAGACATTCGCTAGCGTGTTCGCTGAGCGAGCTGGTAGTGAACGTTCGCTATTGTAAGTTCAGAGCATGCCTAAGAGGGGGGTGAATTAGGCTTATGGAAACTTTTTCGGATTTTTGGTATTCTTTAATTTTTTCTTTGGTTATGTTCTTGGTGATGAATGCAGTAGAAAGCATAAATAAAGTGGACACCAAGATTTATAGTGGTTCCCTTCACAATCTGAAGGTACTCCACTCCCCTTTCCACATGAAAGAGAGTTTTCACTATTGTTTTA